TTCTAGCAAATAATTAATTTTTTTTCTCCTTCATGAAAGCCATGTACCTGGCCATTTTAAATTCTTGAATGTTCTTGTCACTGTTCAGAAAATTTAGCATAGATTTTAATAAAAATACTTTATAGCTGTACTTCATTCTGCGCAACAGTCTGATATCTATTGGCTGAATGATGGATGTACAGTTTGGAAGAAAGAATAAGAAAGAGACATTATCTTTTACTAAAATTTTAAGTGAAATGCAAGTTGAATAGTTGTCTAATCTGGACAATGTTTATATCATCTGCTAAACTGCCAGATTCTAAATGTTGCCGAGCCTTGAGTGTATAAAACCAGCGATCAATGTTTTTAAGACTGATTATTCATTAATTTTTGTGTCATCCATGTTGTTTTATTTGAACAATAGATGACAAAATAATCGTTACTCCTTTAAATGCCTGAGGTAGTTTATATTTTGCAATTATGAAAAGTTTGCATTTGCAGCATTCGATCATCTCTTTGCTATGTTTGCCACTTTTAGCATAATGAATTATTTTTCTGTTTTTTTATTGCAAGTAGGGTGGCAAAATCCACAAAAAATTCGAAGTATTCCTTTTTACTTTTTTGAATATATTGTATATTGTTGCCTTTCTAGTGTCATACTCCTTGTGTAATTTTAAGATGGTTTGTTGAATGCTAGATGGTCAGGCTTTTAATTGTTAAAATTTTAAAAAACAATATTGATTACAAATTGGTGTATTAAATAAGCATATATTTAGTGCATGCTCCCGCACAACTTCAGTCAGAAGTAAATAAGTGTAATATTGTTATGTACCTATAGATGATTGTTGTCAGCAGAAGCTTAGGTTATGATTTAGGCAAAAGATACAAAGGCTATCTGCCTGGGTAGAGAAATGCCCTTGTAGAGGGCCTTCAAAGGGAAACTGGACTGTATTCACATTACATATGAAGAAAATGGGGAAATTCCTATGTAGCCAACCCATTTTCTGAGATCTAAACCCGGGTTGAACTATTGGTGTTAATGATCTCAACAGCTGTGCCACGGACAGTTATTGCTGGCAGAAAAAAAATAGTCTTCTATTCCATCTGAAAATATCCAGCTTAATTATTGTCTTCCATGTTGCAGTAATGATATTAAGTATGAAATGAGGTATTTATTAAATATAACCCTGTATTTAAATAAATAATTAAAAGATACTATATTCTTTACAAATGAGTACAGTAGGAATGAAAAACTTTTTGTGGCTTCAAGTAGAAATAAACAAGTATAATATTATTAAATGCCTGCAGTTGACTGTTACTGGTAGAAAAGTGGATTTGTTTTCTATATGAGAACATCCTGCTTAATCATTGTGTGAACTCCAACTTACAGTAATGATTTTAACTATAAGTTAGACCTTTATTTAATACATCAGTTACCAAGCCCTGCTTCTAGATTATTTCTTTCATGTCGTCCATTAATTTTTGAGACAGTCATTCCTACAGATTTTAGTTTCCAAGGATAATATTTGATATCATAAATAAAAATATGTGCCTTCCACAAGGTATAATAAGTTTTATTAAAATCAGTTGGGTTAAAAGCCGAAGCTGGTGCTGGAAGAAGAAAGATGTGAGACTTTCTGATTCCATTACTGAGATTATCCTGAATAAAAATTATTAAAATTAAGCAAATGTACTTTATCATAATTAGAAAACTCTATTCAGTTGATTAAATTAGCATTTTATGAAAATATAATTATTAATCATACTTGTATAATATGGATTGTTGAGGCATATTAAGCTGCGTTCAGATGGGGGGCATAAAGGGCATAAGTGGTTAAAGGCGAGCTCTGTTGCCAAGGTAATTCAGTCTGTGCTGTATCACAAAATCTGGTTTAGGGCTCACGGCATAAGATTCCAAGATTTTAACTTTATGGCGAGTTTGGGATAAGCGTTGACCAATCACAGCGAAGCTAAAACGAAGCGGCTTTCTGCAGACAATTTCGCTGTTACATTGAAACCGACTTTTTTTTTTAAAAACATGGAGCACGTTGTGTCCAAATGAAATAATGAGTTGATCTTGCAAGAAATCTACGATGATGACATGCATTTTTTAATGAATTTGTACAATAAATTAGAAAATGTGGATGAAACTCATAAAGTGAAAGTTAAGCTCAGGATCATGCACGCTGTGTATGATCCTGTAGATTAGGGTTCTTCAACCTTTCTCGCCCGAGGGTCCCATCAATAAATTCGCAAGATCCACGGGCCACAAGTCTGTCAGAAAATTTATATGAAAAAGGGACATTTGTTTTTGCAAGATTACAATTGATTCTAAGTGAAGAGATAGTGTTACACATTTGTATATATATACATTGGTTCCAAAAACTCAAGTGGACTTCGAATTAAAATCTTTTTGCAACATTTTTAACTATGAAAAAAAAGTAAAAAGATGATTTTACAGAACGATGTTACAAAATGCATTCACAATAAATTTAAAAAAAAAAAACTTACATTGCTGGCGGTAGATGGTACTAGTTACTTTAGTTTTAATGTGAAATTTGACATTGTTTTTGCTTGATTAAAGCTTCAATATCCAGTTTAATCAGTGTTGTTGCAATTCGTAAAGTTGCCTCCAAATGTCTGTCTGTCAGCCGTGTTCTTGTTTTTGATTTAAGGATTTTCATTTTACTAAAAAGCTGTTCACATATGTAGGTACTGCAAAAGTTAGAAAGCAGGAAGAGTGCATGTTTAGGAATTCCTGTATTCTTGTCATCGATCACATACTTCAAATAAAAATAAATTAGTGTAGGATTTTCAAGAAATTTGCATTTTATTACAGAATCATACTGTAAATCTATAAATTCTAATTGAAGTTCAGGTGGAACTATTCCAATGTCTACTGAAAATGGTGACATTCTCATGAACATTTCATTTTCATGAAAATTGGAAAATCTGCTTTTGAATTCCTTTTTCAACATTTAAAATGCATTGTGCATAATTATTTGAAGTCCGTGTTCTAGAGTTCTTCACACACTCCATCAATTTTAGAAAGTGAGTGGAATTCTTATTTAGCAACTGACTTTCCCACAGGATTTATTTTGTTTCAAAAGCTTTTACAAAGTAATAATGATTATGAACAAGTAGATCTTTTCCTAGTGAGTAATTCAAATCATTGAGATGACCTGTAATATCAACAAGAAATGCAAAGTCTCTCAACCATTTCTCATCACTGAACTCGTGAATAGATTTCTCTTTAGATTCCATGAATTGTTGAACTTCGCTCTATAAGAAAACAGTCGCTGAAGCCTCTTTCCTTGGCTCAACCAGAGTATTCCTGTGTTATACACAATGCCACTGTATTCAGCTTCAGAATCACTCAAGAACTGTTAAAATTGCCTGTGTTAAAGTCCTTTAGACCGAATGAAATTAACCACTTTACAACAGAGGTAAGAATCTACCCTTTTTAAGGAAATGAGATTTTATGCATGGTCAAATTTTTAATTTTTAAAATTACGTAAGATAAAGTGAAATTTATGAAAAACTCGACAGAACATTTTATCTCAAATAATATCGGGCATGTCAATAAAATATTTTAAATGTCAAGAATAAGAGAAAATGATTTTTTCTTTACAACAAAAAGCTGACAAGGCAATTTTTCTTGAAAACAGAATTTTTTTTAATTTTTCAAATTGAAATTTGGGGCCACTAAAATGCCTTCAAGGGGCCACTGGTTGGAGACCCTTCTGTAGATGATTGATCCCATCCATTATTTTCCATGTTATTATGAAAATTCTTAAAAAAAAATGCATGCTTGCAAAAAAATTTATTTTTTCTGTGTAAATTATTATTATTACTACTTTCTTTCTGTTTATTATTTTTGTATTTAAGAATAAATTTATTGAAAAAGCTGGAGATATTGTATTGCTGCTTGCTTCAAATGCTGATTTTCTTTCCAAACAAACTTCATGAATTAATTTTACTAAAACATCAAATTTAACTATTATTTAATTAAATATTTACTAAAACAATATTGTGATTCCTACCCAGAGTAAAATTTTGTGTTTATAATTTTTTTCAAAGTGGGAAATCATATTATATGGAATGATCTGGAATTATTTTCTCAGTGCCAATATTACCCTGAGAAAATGCATTCATTGCAGTTTTTTTTATTTAAATATATTGTGTACGAGTCCCAATATATTAATAAATTTGCATATTACTATCAGATCCAGATTTTCAATATATGTACATTTATACTCCATAATAATGTTGCTATTTATTTGTGTTCTGTTATTAGTATTTGCTGTTATAAATTATATCTTAATGATTTTTAGTCTTTTGCTGAATATTCTGTTTATATATGTTGTAATTTCTGCAGCAGATATGTTGGGAGTTTCCAATGTGTGGATGCTCTTCATCTTAGTATTATTTCCACATCTGCCTCAGATAAGAATATTCCATATTCACAGTAGCTAATATTAAATTAACTTTTTTAGAAGATAACTTTTTTTTTTAGCTTTTTCCCGTTCTGGTGTTATACCATTTCTTCTGAGATAAAAGCCAACTATTCCAATTTCTGTTTCTGTTGATAACGAAGAATTTTCCCAAACAGCGTTGTGCAGTTTGTTTAACTAAGGAATTATAATTACAGTGTGAAGTGCAAAATCCAGATATCCAGTATCTGGAATGATCTAATATTTGGACTTGTGAATCACCAGCACAAAAAATAAATCCTCCTGTCACCATAAGAAAATCTAGGAGCCATCTAGGATATAAAATAGCCATGAAAAATTTACTTTGCTGTATGCAGGAATCAAACCTGTTATATATATATATACAGCACATTGGTGTGCTTGCTGTGAAAAGTACATGGGAAGAATTCTAAGAAATTTAAAAGTTTCACTCTGCATATGCTATGTATAATACCTTGATGTTTTTTATTATTCACTTCGCTGTTTTTTATTCAGGCTTTTTTTTTTTTTCCCCCGAATTCATTGCTCATTGGGTTAATTTTCTTTCAGAGGATCCATTGCTGTTGAAAGCTTTTACTATGGCAGATGCGCAATCACAGAAGAAAAATAAGAAAAAAAAGAAGCCATCAACAGATAAAAAACTTCATTCAGAGGCTCCTGTCTGTGCAGATAATAGCAAAACTGTAGAAAGCAGTAAGTGTATCATTAATGAAATACTACCCCAGAAAGTTGGAATGACGACTGTTTTCAAAGATGTGGAAGTTACAATGACACAGTGTGAGGTTAAGAATGATGTTCCTAATAGCACTGTTTCAAAGAAGAAAAAGAAAAAGAAATCTGCAAAACAGAATTCTGGAGATCCAGTCAATAACAATACATCTACATCAGAAAATCATAACCCAGGTAATTTGCTAAACTTCAGTGAAAATCGAATAGAATTAGTCAACCATCCAGAAATAAGTGTTACTTTATCAAATTTACATGAAGAAAAGATAGAAGAAGTAACAGAAAATGATATTTCTACTCTTTCTCAACAAACTGAGCAGCCTGATGCAAATATTTCTTCCACTGGCTCTAAAAAGAAGAAGAAGAAAAAGAAAAAAAAACACTCTGAAAATAAGTTTCTGAAGAACCTGCAGCAACTGCTCCAACTTATGAAAAATTACCAGCAAATGATGATTCATGTGTTCTTGTTGTTAGTCACGAAAGTTTTTCCAATGGTAGTAAAATGAAACTTGAGGAATTTGCAGATAAAGTAAAATTATCACAAAATGGGCTTGCTGATGTGTTAATTCAAAGGAAAGAATCAACTGAAGAGGTTCAAAATCATGAAAATCCCTTCTCCAATTCATCTGTACAAGTAGGCAGTTCTGTTAGTATATTTCCTGTACCTAACATAAATCAAGAAAAATTAGAAGTAAAGACAGATACCACTGAATTGAGTGTGAAGCATATAAATAACGTAATAAAAGAAGAAAGTTATGAAGTTATTGCTAATGAAATCACTATGCCAAATGCATCAGATGATACTGATGAATCTAAGCTTACAAAAGCTCAGTTGAAAGCTCAAAGACGGGCTAAGCAAGAAGCACAAAGAGCAGCAAAATTAGCCAAGACTGCTGAAAAAATTCAATCAAGTACGCACACTCCTGCATCTGATAAATGTCCAGCAAATGTTAAAGAATCGCCTTTACTTAAGCAAAGTCTTCCTGTAGCTACTGAACCAGTAGCAAGTAAAACTGCACCTAAAAGCACCATTGAAACTTTTCGCAAAGTGCGATTATTTTCTCACCTTCCAGAATGCAAACTTTTTGATACAATTTTGAAACCAAATGAATCGGTTTCTGAAATACATCCTTCTATTTTAGAAATTGGTTCACAGTATAGTAAAGGCATAATTTGTGGATCAAATGCACGATGTGTTGCACTTCTTGCAGCGCTTAGGGATGTTATTAAAGATTATAAAACTCCACCAAGTAAAAATTTTTCTCGTGATCTAGAATCAAAATTTCAGACTTATTTAAATTTTTTGAATAACTGTCGACCTCTTTCTGTGAGCATGGTTAATGCAGTGAAATTTTTAAAGCACCAGATTAATAAGATTGAATCTAATGTGGAAGAAGAAGAGGCAAAAAAAAGTCTTTGTAAATTCATTAATAATTTTGTGACTGAAGAAATTTTATTAGCTAGAGAAGCAATTGGAAATTCTGCTTCTGCAAAAATTGTTGATGGAGATGTCATATTAGTTTATGCATATTCTTCTCTTATCAGGGAAGTGCTGTGTAAAGCCCATAACCAAAATAAAAGATTTAAGGTAGTAGTTGTTGATTCACGGCCTAAACTAGAAGGTCTAGAAATGTTACGCTGCTTGGTAGGAAAAGGAATTTCTTGCTCATATATATCAATTAGTGCTGTGTCTTACGTTATGAAAGAAGTATCTAAGGTAATAACAGGAGCACATGCACTTCTTGCAAATGGATGCGTAATGGCTCGCTTGGGATCTAAGCAGGTTGCATTAGTTGCGTCTGCATTTAGTGTTCCCGTGTTAGTATGCTGTGAAACTTATAAATTTTGTGAAGCGTGTGCTTACAGATTCATTTGTACATAATGAATTAGGTGAACCAAATAATTTAATTATTAAAAGCCTTGATCAGAAAAATTGTCTTAAAAGTTGGCAAGATTTATTATCTTTACAAGTGCTGAATTTGTTATATGATGTCACTCCACCAGACTTAATTTCGATGGTAATTACTGAAAAAGGAGTCCTTCCATGCACATCTGTGCCTGTTGTTTTAAGAGTGAGACATGCTGGTCTCCATGAATAATGTACAATGTGAAATGTTTCTGTTAATGATAATTTCTTGGCATAACTGAATAGATTATATTTAAAGTATTAATTGAATGTAAATTTATCAATTTACAAAAGAATTGCCTTGCATATATTTTGTTGTTATTTATTTGCTTTTTCCTTGTAGAATCTTGATTTTTGTTAGATGTTTTATTTCAGTGTATTGCTTTGTATAAATTCTATACTGCTTGATATTGAGGTATATGAACTGCAAAGATTTTATAGTTAATACTGTGTATCTTTCATTTCTAAAAGAAATTTGTCTTTTGGTGGAAACGATCTTAAGCTACTCAAATCTAAGATAGCATTTTGTGCTGTTTAATAGTACTATAATGTAAGCTTATTGTGTTTTAAATTAATTTTTTAATATTTTTGTGTAAGTAATTTATACAAGAGATGAAATTTTGCGAAAGATAAAAAATAGCAGAGTGTATTTCAAGGAAAACTTAAACTGTCCAAACAAATGGATATCATCAAACGAGGTTTTGCATTTATATTTAATCATTGTGGTTCCCTAAAATTTAAAAAAAAAATCTTGTACCAGATATTTAACTGCTGTAAAATGAAAATATGTTTAAAAAAGGGAAAATATGAATTTTTAATAATAAACATTATATAATTTTGAGTAAAAGAACTTCATGTATGTTTTGATTCTGTATCTTATTTTTATCACGCATCTAAAATCATAAAATCCTCCAGAAAAAATTCAGGGTAGTCATGCAGGCCAGTAAATAGGACCACTACACCAAAATCCGAATTTTGTATTTAAATGCTCCCAAGCATTATGGTTGCAATGAACTGGGGTCCTATTGTACTGGAATTGCATGTCATGGTACAGCAGATCTGTTGGTTATTCAACAGAATGAGCAAGATTTCCTCCAAAACAGTCATATAGCACCTATTAAGTGGCCCCCATGATGCCAAACAAAATATTAACTGTCAAACAGCATTGTGGAGCTCACATTACACATTTGTGTAACACCACCTGTATATGTGACTTATATGCATTCCATCCTATGATGTTTCTTATCAGCATGGAAGTTGTGCAGAATCAGGATCAGGATGCATTCTCTCAAATCATTGGGCAGAATCAGGATGCATTCTCTCAAAAAAGTATTGTGACGTACTTGTACAAAACTCCCACACACTTGTCAGCACCCACACAAAAAGCAGATTAATTTTTGGAGACTACAGTGATCCCTTCCTGATCCCCCTTTAGTGGTTGCTACCTTGACCTTGCAGATTTGCCTATATTAGCCATCGGTTTATAATTTTTTAAACAAGATATGTTTGAAATTTGCTGTGTACATGCAAAGAATACTTCCAGCATTCTTTGTACAAAATTTGGTGCCACTTGCATTCATAATGACATTCTGTGTGCTTTGTAATGCGAGTTTAAAATATTTTTTTAAAAATTAATGCTCTGCCACATGTGAAATGCAGTCAGTCACCCTACTGTTAATAGCTGGAAGCATGAAAACAGATTGTTCAAGAAAAATTCAAAAAACATCTAGGACAAATTGTACTCTAGTTGGCCATACTGATGATTGATACAACTGCTGAGACCCAAATTCATGCTAATAGAAGAATGACATGGAGAAATAAAAGCATTCAGAGAGAAGGGAAAACAAGCAAGAATATCTGGCTACTGAAAATTTTGCATAAATTTATTTTACTGCGAATTTTCAATCTGCAATGAGCACCTTGCAAGTGTGCAAACAAATCCAAACGTACACAAGATTTCCACTTGCAAAAGTGCATTACCATTCCTGTTGCTTCTTGAACATATCTCGTGAATGTGTGTCAGCAGTTACTCTATTAAAAATTAACTAAGCTCTTCACTATAATAAATACACACTAACTGTTCAGATGCATAATCTTTCCCTTTCTGCCCACACTAATCCATATTGAAATGTCAAAAGTTTTGCAATAATATGCAGGTTATGATAAATACAAGAATTTGATTCTAGCTTTCAACTATCAAAAATTATTGTATCAAGCACTTTGGCAGAGTTGATTCAAATGAAATAAATCACACCATAAGTATTTCATGGCTTTGCAATTAATAAATTTAAAAGCAGGAGTTAAATAAAACTTTTTATAGTGACATTTAATTATTTATAACATGAAATTTTATAAAGGCAATTTTTAATTATAAATTATGTGTAATACTTTTAATAACATGTCCGTATATATATTGTATGTTAATGTATAGCAGGTTTTATATCACTTGTATAAAAAAAACTCTTCTCAAAGGCTCCTTTAAACTACTTATCTGTGGCCGTGATACTTTGAAAAACCATTTAGGAATGTTTCTTTTTCAAAGATTTGTTCTAAGCTATTGAGTATTTTTGACGGATGTAACATTATTTGTATTTTCTGAGCTTGCATTTTTGTGACTTATTACTTCAGGTACTGTATTGCAAGTCTCTTTTTTTTTTTCCTGTAGTGTTAGAATAATGTCGCTATCATCAGAAACATGGCCTGCGAGTAATTAGTCATCAAAGACAAATTCATCATTACTGCTACCTTGAAATAATCTGTTCTTGATTTCTTTATAAAGGGTGGCCACAAAATTGTTATCACCTAACATAAATAGGATAATTTAAAGAGAGGTTGAGTGATACTTTTTGTATACTGTACATGTTATTATTAGAAGTCTTTTTTTTAACACATATACTGTGACATTACCAACATGGTTTACTTTATTTTTTCGTTCTCTTTCTGGCATCATATCTTGAGAATTTGGGTGATGGGGAGTAGTGAATGTCTGTGTTTATGATGTAAAATGCAGATATATTAGTGACCTTAATAATTAAGTTATCAATATGATTCATTCAGTGGTGGTAATCATTATATGTCACAATATTCTAGAGAGTATATCCAGTGTATGTGAATGCATGTGTTTGTCAAGAAACATGGGGACTGGACTGAAGCTGTTTAATAATTCATATGAAGTTATCTATATCTGAGTGAGAGATAGATCTTTTATCATTGCAATATGTATCTGTATATATGTAACTTAAATTAATATCCAATTTAGCAGTAACCCACCCTGTATATAAATTTATAGTCTTGCAAGAGGTTCCTTACTGAAGTATTAAACACCTTGAAGAAATTTTCTTTGAAGTGTTTATTTTCACTTTGCAATTAAGTTCATATGTGTTAAATTAACAATGTTGCCAAATAATGATGAAAAAAAAGGTATTTCAATAATTTATAAATACAGGTGCTCTCCGCTGTGTGAACTTTCGGAAATGTAAACACGTTTTGAGAAAACCAAGACACAAATTCTGATAGATTTGTTGAAATAAAGTTTACTGTGTGCAGTGTCATACAGTGCCATTGTTTTATTTACAATGAAAAAAAATCTATTCGGAAAAGTTAAAACATTTTCTTAAGAAAGGCATTTCAGAAATTGGTTTTGCTGGCCATTCTAACATGCCAACTCCTTCCACCTCTCATAGAACTTCTTTGTTGTAAATATTCGCTTTATTCATTGAGATTTTAGAAGGTAAGGTCAGAGGTAGACTCACCCTACGCACATAAAGATCTATTATCCTCATCCTTACCCTATCCATACAAAATCCATGCCGCAAAGATAACAATCCAAGGTGCATAATGTAAAGCAAATCTTTAATTTTTTTAATAATGTATTAATTTGTTTTAACATTTTTAATTTTTTATTTGATAGTATTTATAACTTTTATATTACGAACATCATTCGAGGATATCTGTTGTGAACATAGTAACATTTTGTGAAAAAATTCATGGTGTGAATGATAGCTCAGAACATAACTCGTTTTTAAGATGGGATATTTCTGTATTGTTTTATGTCAAAAGTAACTCAAGGTGGTTTTTAATACCTTGTAATTGGTAGATTTCAAAATTAAATTTATTCCTACATTAGAATTTAATGTTTATGATGAAATTTTATAAGGCATAGATTACAAGCATCTATATGATATTTTTCTGTTTGTACCATTTTATATATAAGAGCAATGCAGAAATGAACAGAACTTTAAATTTGAGTTCACTCTTAATTTTATTCAACAGTAAAGTTTCATGAGTAGGTAATAAGGTTCTGTATTTATTTAGGTAAAAAAGAACATATTGTATGACTATAAATACATTTTTTATTTTTTATTTTTAGCAGTGCAACCTCAGATTTTTAGCAGTGCAACCTCAGATGACGAATGGTGTCTTGAGTTAAGAACACTGAAGTTGGCAACACATGATTTTTAAGTTTTTTTTTTTTTTTTTTTTTTTTTTTTTTTAAGTAACCTTATACCGCATAATTAACAAACACTCAGGGCTTTCTGTAAAAATCATTTCCAGCACGAAGGAAATTATAGCCAGATTGGGTTTCAGGTATAAACTCTGGACACTTAAGGGTGTTTTTTTTTTTTTTTTTTTTTTTTTTTTTTTTTTTTGTCTGATATTGTGTCTATATAAAATCATGCACCAAAAGATAAAATTACTGAAGAACCATAAGAAAGAATTCCAATTTCAGAAGCAGTAATAAAAGGCAATTGGACTAGAAATATTTCCCAATATCATCCTGTTAAAACAGTAGCAAGCTGCAAAATAAGCATTTTCAAGTTTTTAAGATACATTACAATTTTAGCCGGAGCCCTAAATAAGATGAGCTCCTTTACCTTTTTTTCTAAAACTAAACCACAATTCAAAAAAAAAAAAAAAAAAATTCAGAATTCATAGTGTTTTACTTTAACAATAAGTAAGACCTTGCAATACTCTGTTTCCCTAAGATACAAATTCATGAGACATTCAAGGAAAATCCCCTCACTCACATGTGGAAATCTTTCCGTTTAAGAAGCGCATTAAATTTACGAGAACTTGTTCAGGAACGCGTAAATTTCTAGTCATGCCATCGTGTCTTAGTGGTTTGTTATCGACGATTACAGTTAGTTATCCTCGCAGGAAAGGAAATTCATGTGCGTTAAGTGACAGTAAGCATAATAGAGTGAAATACTGAAATGAACTGCTCAAGCATGCTCTATACTATCGTCTTCTCACAGTATCCACTAAGTTAACCAAATACAGGAGGGCGCGAAAAGTGTCACCATCATGGAGGTAGAAAGTAAGGAGAGGCTCTAACCGGTTTTCCCCATACACTTGTTTGAAGCACTGGCGATTCCTTCGTGGTGACCAAAATATTCAGTGTCTTAACTATTAAAATCAATAGGTTTTGACACGATCGGATGTAAATATTTTGTAATTACGTCGTAAATATACATATAAATGTATATATTTCCTTTTTCTACAATATTTCAGAGTATGTGAAAAGAATACATTTTTAAACAACATTTCATTCTGATTGGAATTAAATGCTATACTTTTCACAGAACAGTGTGCTCGGAACGGTTTAATTTGACTCGAATATTTTCACAAGTTTTCGTTAACTACATTAGAAAAAAATTTGAAGTTAATTCGATTTTTTTCAGTTAAGGATTACAACAATTAAGATCACAGTTTATTGTATTATTAATATTAAAATTATGCATTATTTCTTTTCTATTTATAGAGCTTCTTATGCTTTCTCAAATATGACATGATTTTTTTAACTTCTGAGGCATCTTTTAAATCAAAGTCGATTTATAATTAATGATCTATTCGGTCCATTTCAAATTAGGGTACCTGTGACGATTAGACATATGCACCCTCGGACTTCCCGGTGCTTAATGAGAACTTCCTGTTTTGTTCAGAGACAAAATGAACAGCAGAACTTTGAAGAAAGGTACAGCGGAAACCCCCCTATTCTCCTTTTGATGAATTCTTTTTTTCAGTCAGATAAACAACAACAAATACTGATAGGCAATCAAACATGGAATCAAGTGGGACTAAAATTTAACTGTAAGTCATAATATTTCCGTCTTTTATTTCAGTTTATAATGAGCCTGTAAAATACAATGCCTGGTAGGAGTACTTTTGTGTGCAGAGGGTAATACGACTCACACTACCAACATCTGATGACTAGTAATTATTAACCCGCGAGCGCGCGCACTGCGTCCAAAAGAACCAGTTCTTGTTTTTTGAAAAACATGTTGTGAATATTCAGAAACAATGTGACATTTATGTCAATAATAAATTTTATGATAAAATTTTAAAAAATATGCAAGTTAAAATTTTTAATTTCTCCAAATGCTTTTATGTAACAAAATTTCTTGAAAGAATAGAAAATCTAATTATTTATTAACCACAGGAAAAGAAATAGTATTGTATACTCTTTACTCTTTGTGGATTCTTATTTTCTTTATTAGCACTATAGACACATGAAAATGCAACAACAAATGTGAGCAGCATATTGAAGAAAGTGTTTTTGTGTGTTCCAAATACAAATATTTTTCACATTCGGCGAAACGCATTTTCGTTTTTTTGTACTTTTTTGCTGGACAAACAATGCATTTTTTATTTACTTTTTTTTTACTTCCGGTAATTTTTTCCCTCCAAAAAATTTGTCTTTCTCACACTCGTTTTCAGAATCTATATCACTGTCTGAATCAGAAACATGTGAATTAAAAATTCATGATCACTTCCATCCTCATTTTCTTTAATACATTTTTCGCCAGTTGATACCTCTGATAACTTTTGCAGCATTTCTTCGTTGTATATTAAATAACGTGACATTTTTGCTGCTTTCCATACTATTACAAATCAACTATGAAATAGTAACAAGAAGGCGCGCTGGATCTAAAAGACCCGATCGCATCAAAATCAGGACTCCGAATAAAAGTCCCAACGAAAAAACTTCAGAAACATAAAGAGGTCGACTTAAAACACAACTATACTGGACCTCCACAACTTGCGTAAAATATGTGCGTTCAGAAAGGTTTGTAATCGTGCGGGTCCTTTGGACCCAGTGCGCGCGTTCGCGGGTTAAACACATTGAAATTTTATTGTATTACTTTATGGTGTTTGACTTGCTTTGGGAGCACCAACTGGTTCCAAACCCTAAGATATATTAAGGAAATTATCGGTATATCTGAAATTAACTACAAAGTCTTGGAAAGGTTTTAAAATACCCTTTTTATTTAAACGCAACTTTTAACATAAATGCACTTCCTGTGCTAACAGGAAAAAAATCGCATTAAAATAACAGTGAAAGTTTGCTCAAAACGGCGTACCACTTTAAATAGCGGCAGCAAATAACGCAAAGCCAAATAGTTGCAAACTTATCAGAGATGGCGGAACTAAAGCAACGTGGCCTTGAGAGGCAGAAACACTCTTATAATCCAAAAATTGCACTTTAAATACTGTCTAACGCATTTACATTTCTGGTGAGGAAACGGTAAGGAGAAGTTACAGTAAAGGCTCAAATTATAAATAACTGTTTAATAAATAAGAGTAACCTTGTATCTTCACCCGCCAGAATTCAAGTAATCGCATCGGAAGTCTTTAACTACCTTGCTGAGATTTTAAACGTAACCGTGATCCAAATCTTACAAGCAAGAATTTACAAAATTTAAATTTTACAGAAGATTGATTTTTGCTGGACAAAAATTCATGACATCATACACTATTTCAATAGTCCCAAGTAGCACACGATGTTGCAAAGTGGTCGTGGTAACTTTTAGGACGTCTTTACAACGTTGCGAAGACGCAAAATATTTGCCGTTGCATCTTGGCAATTTGTCGACATCGCTGAAACGTCATGATATGACCCGCTTCTAGACGTGGTCGTTTTAGCATTTTTTTCATAGTTCATCAGCGTTACTTTTAGAATGAAAGGAGACTAAATCTTGTCTGTCAAGAATCCGAAGTCCGCATAAGATTTATTTTACAATGTTTCATTACTTTATTTCATCTAAATATATTAATCTAAGGTAGATTCATCTAATGAAATATAAAAAACTTCTGATTTATTAAAGTTAATTAGTACTAAAATATACGTGCTAAATTATCGTTTAAAATTTTGTTAAAATAATTAATACTTAAAATGCCTTTTTATAAATATTATAGCAAAATAGTTAAAAATTAAACTAATCTATAAAGTAAGTTATTAAGTTCTGCATTTTATGTATTTTAAAAAATCGTGTTTCCGAAATCAATGCAAATCACATGTTAGCAATTATTTCACTGCTGAAATATCACTTTATTTATTATTTTTGAATTAGGACAAATTTATTTGAATTAATATGCTGACATAATATGAAGCATTTTACCGCATACAAAGCAAGAACAATTTTCGCGAAGATCTGATTGTGCGTGAAGATGTATTCACGGATAAAAATGGGGGGGGGGGATTTTTAAGAATTCCGAGAAAACATCCAGTGTTAAAAGACGATGCATATCCATGCATATTTTAACGGCTGTC